TTAGCTCTGCATTAACACAGCAATTGGTTAGGTAAAAGCGGCTACATGTTGGAAATACACATCCAAACATGAATTGAAAACCGCCACAGTGCTCGGTGTCAAAAAACTACTCGTTTATTTTTTCTCAACATTGTCTAACTTCAACAATACAGCCAGTAACGGGTATAAAACTACGACCAGATTCAGGTTTTATGACTTAAATGATTGCAAGATAACTTAGAACTGAGGATTAATACGGATAAACTACATGTTTAGCTGGAATAAATGAACATACCGTCCTTAGCGGAAAATGGCTGAAAGGGAAAAGGAAGTGACAACGCAGGGTTTTATGGGAAGTGAAGAAAACAGCCAATAGCGTTGAGCGAAGCGCCAGTGTGCAGGAAGTGTGAAGCTGGGTTTCGTTGCGATAAATCAACACGTGGATACTGGACAGAGGCACATTAAAAGTTCGACAAGTAGCAGTTCAGTGACAGACCACAGTCGTGCAGAAAATACAGATATTGTTTGTCATGCAATACACAAAACTCATCAGGCTTTGAACAACTTCAGTTGTGTGTAACGAATCTAAAACATCTGAAAGTCTAATGTTTATCAGTACATTACAGAAAATAATGAACTTCATCACAATATGCTAATTAAAAAAAAACACCTGCATGTTACTATTATTTTCATTTTGACGGACGTGATTGAAAATCGATCACTAGTGGGCGCTGTAAGACGTGTTATGCAGGACTTCCCCTCATAATATGTTGATTGTAGCAAAATTTTATATCCACAAATGTAGATTTGTTAAAGTTTCTCCTTGTTTCAAAACATTTAAAATGATTGCAAAATTTTATATAAATCTAAAAAACAGGTAAAAACAAAAGATGCCTTGAGCTTCTGTCAACTTAGATGGACTGACCCCCCTGAATGTAATGTATTTTCTTTTTGTATTGTTTAAAATTTATTTATGTTGTTATTATTATTTTGTAATGTTTTGTTTATTATATGCTGCTTGGATCTAATGTTATCTATGTTTAACAATGGAAGTTGAAAATGCCTCTTTGTTATTTAAGGATTAAATAATAATAATAATAAAAGCTTTACTTCCCCTCATGAAACAATACTATAGTATTCAATAGTATTTATTGAGCCATCCTGTAGCAACGTTTATAATATTTACAACATGTTGTTAATGAATGCACCAACTATAGTAATCTGAAACAAAAACTGTAGTATTCTTCGTTTTAACTACAGTAAACTGAGTGTGTTGTACTTTATCATGTAGTATTGGGTGATATGTCTGTATTACTAATTGTTTCATTACAATAATTACTATAGAATTACCACAACAGATTAATTTAAATACTTTATTATAGTATGACCCAAAAGCAGTGTAGTAATTATTTAATATGGATTATCAAAAAGCAGTTTTATTATAATTTGATATCTTTCAAATGCCTCTGACCCTGGTATATGGTTATCCTGGTCCATAAATATTACTGTAAAAGTGATTGTAAATTAGTTTAAAATGGTATTTGGAGAATATTTAGATACATGTATTTATTTACATGTTTTATTTTATCCAAATATTTTTATCCTATTATTCATCGTAATAAAGTTTTAATTGCATTTATATTTCAGTTTCTTTAAAAAAGATCCAATAATATATATATACAATGACATGTATATACAATGACAAGTGCTAAAACTATTTTAATCATGCATATTATATTTGTTCTCATTTGATCATCACATAATTGTTGTGTATATACACACACACACATATATATATATATATATATATATATATATATATATATATATATATATATATATATATATATATATATATATATATATATATATATATATATTGTCACAACAATTATGTGATGATCAAATGAGAACAAATATAATATGCATGATTAAATAGTTTTAGCACATGTCATATTGGCCAAAACGTTAACACTTCCTAACAAATGTAAACGAGATGTAAACACTTTAACCCAGTTTGAGATTTTCTTGAGGGAAAACGATACTATGATCAGCCTTCATTAATCATTGATCGCTGGAACACTGAAACTCATCAGTGTTTTAATCTGAGGGCAAAGGTCAAGGTGTTTTGGGCTGACAAGTGGCCATGGTTCCCTTCTGCACGTGTGTGCTCTTCCTTCCCAGCATCAAGAGACAAACAAAAACTCCATACTATACAAAACTAAAGACTACTAAGAACTGTTCAAAAACTAAACTTTGTCTCAAATAATTTTCGTTGCAGTATCTGAAACAACATTTCTGATAATAACAGCAATCTGTAGTTAAGAATGATTTTATTTTGAAACTGCACGCTAGGATATGTTCTCAGACAATCCTTTGACATTCAATTATTTTTCTTCAGCTTAGTCTCTATTTCAGAGGTCGCCACAGCGGAATGAACCACCAACTATTCCAGCATATGTTTTATACAGCGGATGCTGCAACCCAGCACTGAGAAACACCCATACACACTCATACAATTTTTTAACATTCATTGAAAGTTGTGTAAATGTTAGCATGTAGCTAATGTTAGTAACCCTTATGTGCTATCAGGAATGTTTTCATCCATTCTGAGGTGATTTTGAGGCCTAATTTGGCCATAACTTCCTCTGTGTTTCAGGAAATGCAATGATTTTTCGTGACAATTCTTAGTTTGGCATATATATTTTGGGAAAAAAGCTTTAACAATATACTCTTGGCATATAGACTATCCTTTTGTTATGTTTGGGGCCGTTTTTGCCCCATTGACTTCCATTAAAATGGCATTTTTTGATTGCAAAACCATGGCCAGTGTTTGGGAAAGTTACTTTAGAAAGTAATGCATTACAATATTGAGTTACTCCCCAAAAAAGTAACCTGTTGCATTAAGGCCCTGCTTACACTGTCAGGTCTTGATTGCTTAATTCCGATTTGTTGCCTGATTTTTTTGTTTGTCCATATACACGTTAATTGTGACCCATATCTGATACATGTGTTTACACTTGCCATACTATTTACGATGTCGTGCACGTGTAAAGGCGAGTTCTAGCATCTGCGCCACACTAGCTACGATGAAAGAAATTGTCTTGCTTTTTTTGTTCTAGCTCTTCGAAATATGCGAAGATCGCCCAACTTTAAAATGATTTTGAGGTGGAGGAGAAGGGAAAGGGCCGTCATCGCAGCTATGCTATATATGGTGTCCTCCACCATTCAGAGGAATTTATGGGTACGAAAGATCTCAGGTCTGGTGGGAGCAAATTGTGACGACTGACTACTTTCCTCCTCCACTTTTCCTCCTTCCTTCGATGTTGTTGCTGTTCACCGCGGCGGCATCTCCACACGCTTTTCCTTCTACGTCATTAAACCGCAGAGAAGCACCACATCGTCGCAAGATTAATGACATACAAAAAGGAATGCCTAAATCTGAGCTGTTTACATGACAGTCGCATTGTCACATATCCGATTTATTTCCCCTTATGGAGGCCTGAAACCGATCTAAGAATATCCAAATACATGCGTTTCGTTTCATGTTTACAAGGTCATAGAACACATCCGATCTGTGTCACATGTAAAAAATTGTAATTGGGTCACATTTAACTGACAGTGTAAACGGGGCCTTAGTTACTTTTAAGGAAAGTAATGCGTCACGTTACTTTTGAGTTACTTTTTCATACCTCCCTGAGGCTCTTTCAGAACATGCAGGGTATCTTTCTGTTTTTTAAATAGAAAGGCTCTGCGTTTAACGACAAACTATATAACCTACACATTCATTTACTATTTAAAAAAATAATAATTAAAAAAAGATTAGAATATTGTTACCTTCTGAGAACTTCCTGACGCTAAACATGCCGTGAAAGTTGAAAGCAATGTTTGCTACTTTTGTATGTTTGTCTTATTAGTACAGTAAAACTATGTTCATTGACACAATCCCCCTTTCAATACCTTTCTTCCATGAGTTCAAAATAATGAGAAAACCTCCATCACAGAAATGTAAGGCTCAGCCATCTTGATTTCTGTCTGTTATATAACTTGACTTCTAGTTGGTCAGTGTCAGATTTTTCTGATGAATCATCTGCAAATACCGCAGAAGACTTACTGGGACTCACATGGACACAAGATTCTCACAGAAATCAGTCATGTTTGGTGAAGAAAAACTTATGGTTTGGGGTTACATTCAGTATGAGGACATGCAAGAGATCTGCAGAGTGGATGGCAACATCAACAGCCTGAGGTATCAAGACATTTGTGCTGCCCATTACATTACAAACCACAGGAGAGGGCAAATTCTTCAGCAGGATAGCGCTGCTCCTTATACTTCAGCCTTCACACCAAAGCTCCTGAAAGCAAAGAAGTTCAAGGTGCTCCAGGATTGGCCAGCCCAGTCACCAGACATGAACATTATTGAGCATGTCTGGGGTAAGATGATGGAGGAGGCGTTGAAGATGAATCCAAAGAATCTTGATGAACTCTGGGAGTCCTGCAGGAACGCTTTCTTTGCCATTCCAGGTGACTTTATTAATCAGTGATTTGAGTCACTGCAGAGATGTATGGATGCAGTCCTTCAAGCTCATGGAAGTCATACACAATATTCATTCTGCTTCCACTGCAGCATGACTTTATATTCTATACTGGACATTATTTCTGTTAAGTGACAAGACTTTTGTTTGAGCAAAGTCAGACCTTACTGCCCTAATTAAATAATTAAAAATTAAGACATGATCATAATTTATTTTGGTAAAGAGACTTTGGCTAGAGACTTTGCCTTTCATATAAGCCACTTCTGACACTAAATGATTAACTAGAAGTCAAGTTATTATTTGCTGTTCCTAAAACTTTTGTCAGGTAGTGTATACTATTACATCCGGTGAACAGTACTGTGCACTCATTAGTTAAACCGTTTAAGAATTATTCATTATTAAACATGACAAGAATGAGTGACTTAGTGACAGTATCTGAATATGAAAGTGAGCAAACAGCACCATAAAACAGAGGCAAAATATGGCTCAAAATGCTACATTGTTGTTTTTATTGCATGTCATATTACTTTAGCCTCACACATTATTAATATCAACAAATAATAACTAAAAATATATATATATATTGAAGACAATCAGCAGAGCCAGCCCTCTCTTGGTTTGAGTCCATATAAAGCACCTCAAACTGTCCCCAAAAGCCCTTAGAAATGTTTGGCTTTTGACTGCAAAGTCTGTTAATCTACAGAACACATTACCAAATATTATTTTGGTGGAGAGAGAGAAAAACAATTACAAAAATCAAAATAAATAGATCGGAAAGAATCGGATTAGTACTCAATCTAACATCAGGTTTCTAAAGCGGCCATCTTAAAGGCTTCATCATCCATGATAAAAAAAAAAGGTTTACGAATCGAGGGATTTGATGAATTTTTCGTAAGCAGCTTCATCCATGAGTTCATCAAGTTCTGCAGGTTTCTCTATGGTCATTTTAATTAACCAGCCTGGAAGAGGGAGGATTGTTCGTTATATATTATATTGTCATTACAGTATTTTGTGTAATACAGTATTTCCTGGTAGCACTTGCACTCACCGCCTTCATAGCAGGCTTTATTTACTAGTGCGGGGTTTTCTGTCAGCTCTGTGTTGATTGCTGTCACTTCTCCAGTCAATGGAGAATACAACTCGCTAGCAGCTTTGACACTTTCTAAAGCCCCGAACTCCTCTGCGGAAAAAAAGAAGTCATATTTTACGTGCAAAAACAGTTGAAAGGTGTAAAGGCTATTTTATACTTCTGCGTGAAGTGCACCTGTATGCTCTGGTGCAGGCTGCACATGGACACATAGCCCTTGCTGTGGCCGACGCTGATGCGCAGCTCTCAAAAAATATAACTACACGTCGCTACGGAGCATAGCGCAAGCTCTGAGATTGCTCGGCTTGGTAGCGCTGATGAGTGTAGGCAGGGACCGAGAGCCGCACGAGCCCGATGGAGCGATTGTTTACAAGTGTGGAGTCCCGTGAGGGAGCTCCGGATGGAAACTGTTGTTTTGTGTTTACCTTATGATTAAAGTTGTTGCATGTCCATTGGTTCTCGCCTCTGAATGAGCGAGTTTGAGCTACTTCTACATTAAGGTAGAAAAAACAAAACACCAGCTAAGAAACTCGATACAGAGAAACATAAAAACCTCACTGCCAGTTAACGTTAGAAGTTAAAGTGTTATTGCAGAGCAACACAAATAGTGCACAGAAGTATAAATGCATGGCAAAACGCAAGGCATGCGCCGTGGGTCACGACGATCACTCGAGGCAGAAGTATAAACTAAAGCTTAAGATGAAGAAATTCATTCTCACCCATTTGATCAAGCTTTGTTCCCACTTCTGGAAGCCCACAGTACACAACATCACCTAACGCTTCCTATGGAAAATAAACAAGAGATTAATTGTGACTCATCGCATAGAAAATAAACGTTTTTACATAATAATTTTGTGTACTGTGTACACTACCTGACAACAAACAATAGGAACAACAAACAATAGCTTGACTTCGAGTTGATCATTTGGTATCAGAAGTGGCTAATATGAAAGGCAAAGGCCTCTAGATTACACTTATTTTACCAAAATAAAATATGATCATGCCTTTATAAAGTCATCTGGAATGGCAAAGAAAACATTCCTGCAAGACTCCCAGAGTTCATCAAGATTCTTTGGATTCATCTTCAATGCCTCCTTCATCTTACCCCAGACATGCTCAATAATGTTCATGTCTGGTGACTGGGCTGGCCAATCCTGGAGCACCTTGACCTTCTTTGCTTTCAGGAGCTTTGATGTGGAGGCTGAAGTATAAGGAGCAGCGCTATCTTGCTGAAGAATTTGCCCTCTCCTGTGGTCTGTAATGTAATGGGCAGCACAAATGTCTTGATACCTCAGGCTGTTGATGTTGCCATCTCCTCTGCAGATCTCTCACACACCCCCATAATAAATGTAACCCCAAACCATGATTTCCTACACCAAACTTAACAGATTTCTTTGAGAGTCTTGGTTCAATGTGAGTTCCAGTTGGTCTTTTGCAGTATTTGTGATGATTGGGATGCCGAAATATTTGAAAAATCGAGCACTTTTCCAAATGATCAACTAGAAGTCAAGTTATTATTTGTTGCTCTTACAACTGGGATCGGCAACAAGACTTTTGTCAGGTAGTGTACATTTCACATCTGAGATAAAGGTTTTTATTTACATATATATGTGTACTGTGCATATATATATATATATATATATATATATATATATATATATATATATATATATATATATATATATATGCACAGTATATGCACAATATATACACACACACACATAATGTGCATAAAATACAAAACCATACAAAAGAAAAATATTTACACAAAGTATATATTTGTATATAATTTGCACTGTATATAGATAGATATAAACAAATATTTTCTAAAATATAGTGATGTATATATTTATAAACATAGTAACCACTAACCACTAAGCCACCTGGCTGCCTTCTTGCAATTCTTTATTGTTTATTTTTTATTGTATCTGGTTGAAAAGAAGTCCCAATGAACTATGTGGCAGAAATGGGCTTCCATCTATATTGTTTTAGTAGTAAAAAAAACCAACAGCAACAAAAACAAAGTCAAAATGATGTGATGTAACATCTAAACCTGAGCAAAATTGCTGATGCCAACTGTGCCCACGCTGCCCTCCACTCGCACCCATTCGTGTTTGTCTGTAAACTTCAGAGCTGTAAGGACAAAATCAACATTAATGAGCATGATAAAAAACACAAACAAAAAGGAATTTATCAGTCTATATTTATTTGTTGTATTCTACTACATACTACAATTGTATTATTGAATCATTTTTATTTCATTTTATTTGGTGTGCTTTTGAAATTCTTTTTGTTTTGTTTTTTGAGTCATCTGTTCATGTCACGGTCACCAACGATCTAACCTTCATAGAACGCTGGAGAACATTCACATTTACATGGACTACAATCCTGTCTCATATGAACTACAACTCCTGTCATGCAACACAGACACACCTGCTCCACGTCTCCATTGATTAGACTCACACAGCTTATGCTGATTACAAGGACAATAAAAACAGCACAAACACACATTGTGGCTGAGTCTTGTTCTACAGTTTTGTCAACATTACGATGCGTTTTCCTTGTCTTGCTTTGGTGTGTTTTTGACCCTCGCCTTGTTTGTTTATGTTGTCTGCTGCCTGCCTGTACTGACCATCTGCCTGTTTATCTACCACGACTCTGGATTGCCTGTGTGCATCTGTTTGCTCCTGATTATAAACCGTCGCATGCCTGACCATTCTGCATTTGGATCCGCACCCTGTTGTCAGCTTCACATTCACTTTAATTTAGTTTTTTGACAATAGATTTAAAAGCATTAATTTTGGTTAAGTACAGCTCTGTAACTGCATTGTTATAAACCCTTGACGCTTTTTTTTCTAAAGTTCTCTACAACACACACAAAAAAGAATAAAATCACCTAAGAAAAACAGACTTTCAAACTTCTAACATTATGTTTTTCTAAGTAAAGTTATACCTAGTTGACGCCTAAAAACTAACGTTGACGAAAACCGTTTGTGTTCTGTATTGCATTTGTTCCAGTCTGGACCCAAAAGCTGCGCATAAACACCTAAAGGACGGCAGTTGACTGAACCAACAATGTACTGTACATTCTTCACCGGTGTGAGAGGATGTACCTTTCCAAACCTGTAGGTGGCAGCATCTATACAGTCATTCCATAGTGCTGCACGCATACAGGTCATAAACAAAGCAGCGTTTATGCAACAATTTACAGTACTTCTCACCATACACTATAGAATAAACAAGAAATTTAATTTATGTAGTTTTGAAAATTGGGGAAATGGGAAAAATTAGCGCTTTCTATCAAAGGAGCCAATAGATACAGACAATCAGAGACCTGTCTTTCACTGGCGCTAATTCTACATGCTAAATCAGACAAACTCCCACCGATTTGAGCCTGAAAGATGCCTTTAAAGACAGCAATAACTGAAAGTTGCTGACAACCTTTATTTCCAATATGATAACATATTCCCAACAGAATTTTTAGTAGGGGGCGGGTTTTATCTATGCATTGCTCCTCTTCTTTCACTTGCAGCAGACTTATCATTGGAAAGGCGTGGCTAAGCATATTTCATCCAATCTGTCAAGCTGATGTCATCAGAAAAGGATTGACGTTCCAGAGTGAAAGTAAAGTCACGTTTTTTTATTAAAGTTTACACATCTTTTTTCAATGAATTAGGATTAACATGCACAGATCAATTGTTCACTTTAAGACTAACGATGTGAGCTAGTTTAATAAACAATGTGCGTTTAGATTTTTATGAAATTTTGAAGTAACACTAAGTAACTTTTTTTGCTCATTGCTCCCCCTTGTGGTTGATAAGTGCAACTGTCTGCCACCGGTGACATGAATGCTGGCGCTGTTTAAAGGGTCACGAAACACCAAAACACATTTTTTGAGCTGTTGACAGTCATATATGTGTCCCACACTGCTAAAAACACTATTAGGACACCTATATTTCACTAAAAAGTGTAAATTGGTTGTTTTTGTGTTATTTCAAGCAAATTCATACTTCCTGTTTGAAACGAATTTTTGAAGCTGCGTCACGGTCATGACATAATAGCGTGTATTCCAGCGTGCAGACTGGGCGTCTGTGCCAGAGTGTGTCTTATTACGTCTTACAGTGTGATGCATTAATGCATGAGTAAGGCTTGGTTGAAACCAATCGGCGCGCTCTACTGTGCAACTTCATTAATATTCATTTGTGTCACCGTGTTTACACCACAAAGACGCCACGTTGTGTTGGCAAAACAAGCGTGAAGGGTTGCTTTTATAGTTTGCTGCCGTTAAGTTTTGTTTTCATTTTCTCTCTGCGAGAGCTCATCTGGATCACGTCTGGATTAACAGTGTACGCGACGCTCGACAACAATAACTTACGTGTCTAAGGAGGATTATTGTTTACCTGAGAGCTGTTCTCATCTGCAAACGCTGAAATCTGGATTTGCTTGTAGTATTCTCTCCATAAAGACGCGGCTCTAGTTGCTGGTGATTGTCCTGTCTCTACAGATTTGGTAAGTGAGCGACCAGTGCTCTTTGTTTATTCAGTTTGTTCGTATCGAATTAAGTTAACTATTGCACTGAGTGCAGAAATGTTAGCACCGCATTTTGTGACCGGAATAACACATTCGGCTTTCTGACGCTACCTGCCGTGTGCATCTAAGTTTCCGGGAAATGCAGAGTTTTTTTTTTCTCTCATTCGCCGTGCGGTATCAAACATTGCATGAAAAATACACGCTTGCAGCAGTTCCTCGAATCAAATATCTCGTTTGTCGCGAGGGGCATGAATGAATTCCCTGAATGAAAGAGCCAAACTGCAGTTAAAGTCCAACATTTAATAATTTGGCAAATAATTCGACTACAGATGTCCATGTAGGTTAAACACTTCTCCTGTCTGTGTGGGTGTGTATTTTGACTCTGAAACTCGCGCGTGCACAAATAGACACTCCCACACCATCCCACTTTAGTTCCTCCGACACTCCCCCCTAAACAGAGCTGGACACGCCCACTTTTCTGACTTTTTCCAAAGTAGAGGTGTGAAAACACCCTGCTGAAACGAGGGGGTTTCATGGCCCTTTAAATTAAGGGATAGTTTACCCAAAAATAAAACTTACTGCTTGTTCTCACTCAAGTGCTTCCAAAACTTTCATGGGTGAACACAAAAGAAGATCTTTTGAAGAAAGCTGAAAAGCTGTAACCGTTAGGATAGTAGGGAAAACAAAAATTATGGATGTCAATGCTTACCGGTTTCCAGCATTCTATAATAATCTCTTCTTTTGTAACTCACAAACTCAGACAGGTTTGTGACAAGTGAAGGTGAGTAAATGATGACAGGATCTTTAGTTTTGGGTGAACTATATCTTTAAATACTCATGAGTTTGTTGACTATAAAGGGACTGAACCAGCAAATGCAGAAAAGCTGTTTATAAATTCTGTCTATTATAACCAGATGAAGTAGCTCGTGTACACATAATGTCTTAATATCCTAAATAAAGTGGGTTGCCATAAGTTTAAAAGGCTGTAATAAAACAGAATCTTTATTTGTATATCTTTTGGCTCATGTCAATCTCTCTCTCACTGTGGTTTCTTTGCCGGCTCTGCTATAGTGTTCATTTTGAAACTTGCATATTAGATTGTTTCATTTTATTGTTAGCTGTTGACTAACTCCACCTAGGCCACGAGCAAAATATGTGATCATGTGGTAAAGAAGATCACACTGTTCTTCTCATAGTCTGAATATGTTTACCGTTCTGCTCGGAGGGACAGGCAAGCCATTCCTAAATGACTTCATCTAAATATTGTGTTTGAGTTTCTTGCTTTTGTTGAATACAAAAACAGATGTATTGAAGAACATTGGTAACCAATAGAAGGTGGCACGGTGGCGCAGTGATTAGCACTGTCACCTCATGGCAAGAAGGTTGCTGGTTCGAGGCCAGTTGGCATTTCTGTGTGGAGGTTGGAGGTTGCATGTTGCTTGTTTACATGGGTTTATTCCGGGTGCTCCCCCAAAGTCCAAAGACATGCACTCTAGGTGAATTGGATGAACAAAATAGGCTGTAGAGTATGAGTGTGTGTGTGAATGTGAGGGTGTATGGGTGTTTCCCAGTACTGGGTTGCGGCTGGAGGAGCATCTGCTGTGTAAAACTTTTACCGGAATAGTTGGTGGTTCATTCCGCTGTTGCAACCACTGATAAACAAGGTACTAAGCCAAAGTCCAAAAATGAATGAATGAACCAATAGCCATTCACTTCAATAGTATTTCACCCCACTGTCAAGGTCTTACTGTTGCCAACGTTCTTCAAAATATCTTATTTTGCATTCCAGAATTAGAAGTTTTGAATGTGAGTAATCTTAAATATTTAGGTGAACTATGCCCTAAACATTGTTTTAAGTCCTTTTTGTGTCAATTTTGAGCAGTTGATTAAAGTCAATCAAAGTATATAATCATACATACTTTACATATATATATATATATATATATTTAATTGTAATTTTTATGTAAACACAATTTACAATCTTATTCTATTGAACTTTTCCTTTAAGCGTGTCACTTTCAAGGACGTGTTCTCATAACATAAATATTAACTTGGCTGATGATAGTTTGACCATTTGAACTCCATAAATTATTTCCAGATCAGCCTATTTTACTGCAATAGCTTTGAATTCTGAAACTAACTTCTCACATTTTCAAACTGAACATGACGCAGTCACTGAGATTGAAAGTAGCAATAAAAGTTCAAGTTAAGACATGCTGAACAGTGTCATCTCCATGCTAGGCAATTGCAAAACTAAAAAAACGGCTTGCAGACAGGTTTCTCGCACACCCACTGTGGGTTTATGTACAAGGAATCCACAAAATTAGACTTGTGTGTAGGGCAGTGCAATATGACTAACATCTTATGGACAAAATAAAAAAGTCTATCATATCACAAAATGCTTTATCATTTATTTAGTAAAATACACCATAAAAAATGCTGTGTTCCACACAATCTATTTGTGTTGTGTAGGCATGGGATGATAACCGTGTTCAAGGTATACCGCAGTTTGGAAAAGGTTTTAAAATTTTCTGTTATACCCTTCCTAAGGTATATATAAGGTTTTTTATTTACGTTTGTTGTTGTTGTTTTTTAGGACAACAGCATCTCCAGCAGAAAACATATCCAAAGACACCATTTAAAATAGTTTTTGAAACTAATAAAGATAGCAGAAGTCAATGATTTATTTTAATTATTTAGCCTCACATGTTTACTGTTACAAAATATTTTAAATGTTTCTCAAAATAAAATATATTGTTCAATGGGGGAAAAAATGTTTTTTATTCAGACATTTAAAAAGAGCATATTATAGAGCAGTAATCACTAGGGTTGGGTCGATAGATGATGCCATCATCCCTCACCGATGGCTAGGCCCACCCAGAATCTGCACTCGCAGAATTCCACAGATTTTCAGCCCATCATTAATTTTGTTTATATACTTGAGTAAATGTGGGTAAATCTATATTTATTTCGTTTTTTTTAATTAATTTCAGTAATATTATTGTCTAATGTGAAAATGTTCATCTGATTTATGTACAATGCAGTTTGTTAAGTAATGTTTTCTGTCTTTTACTAGATAAATTACATGACAAACTTGCTTTATTTACCAAATCAAGTGAATTTAATTGGATTTGCATTTTAAACATTAAATAAAAGTTAAAAAGACATTAATTTTTATTTCATATATTAAGGTTTTAGTTATGATACTACCAAAACAATTCCCCAAAAATCCACAGATTTCTACCAAAATTCTCAGCAGAAATAGCAAAAAACGTCCGCAGATTTCATCTGGCCCTACCGATGGCTAATAGACACCCGATGCTGAGCATCATGATCACCTGCCCCGCCCCCGTTGCAGCAGCAACCCGCTCGTGAAAAACACACACTTGGGCCCGGTTTACACAAACACGTCTTGGCATTTTAGAACCATAACGATCCACGTCCACATTGGCATTTCATCTAGCATTAAGCCCTCCATCCACACTATACCGCTGAAAATGCACATCACTAGGCATGGGCCGGTGTTAGATTCAGACGGTATGATAACCTTGGATAAAAATATCCCGGTTTTATGGTATTATCATTACTGCTTTAAAATAAATTCTTTTTAAATGTCTGAGTAAAACAATATATTTTATTTTTTGAAAGATTTATAAACATGTCTGGCTACTTATGCTGTCTTTATTAGTAAAAAAAAAAAAAAACAGATTTCTTTACTATTTAAAACTGCGTTTTTGGATTTCTTTTCTGCAGATACTGTTAAAAAAATACATACATACTTAGGAACGGTATTACCAAAGATTTTGGCGGTTTTAAAACCTTGACTTTTCCAACCGCGGTATACCTTGAAAATGGTTATCATCCCAATGCTACACATCACGTGACCACACACACCCACTCTGTCATGCACTCTACTAGTGATGGGTCGTTCTTGAACGAATCTTCAATATGACTCGAAAACTACGAGTCCTCTCAGGGAGGGATTTGTTCATCCACGCGTGCGCACATTTGTGCAGGTAGTATCGTTCATTTTAAGTCTTTTGAGTCGTTCATCGCGGAAAGGCAGAAGCCAATCAGAGCCAGAAAGAGAATTGATCCGTTTATCTCTCGAGTCCTCTATCAGGTCTCAGTCGTTCGTTCACCACGGGCCAATCATATGCGTTTGGAGCCGGGAAAAGAATTGATCCGTTCATCTCTCCAGTCCTCTATCGGGTTTGAGTCATTCGTACATCACGGGCCAATCATATGCGTTTAGAGCCGAAAAAAGAATTGATCCATTCAACTCTCGAGTCCTCGGGTTTGAGTCATTCTGTCAAGTAATGAACGAACGACTCAAGAACCAGACGACTTGAAAGGTGAGCTAAATATCATGGCTCCTATTGACTCAGACTGTGTACATTGGTTAAGATTATATGTGACTGTCAGTGTAAAGTGAACGAAGCACTAACATTTGAAGACATGAAGAGGTGAGCCGAGCAAAGAGACAACAATACCTTCATAGATAAAAAGAGCAGGTAAACATTGAGTTATTATTTTCTTCTTCTTATAGTATCCCTATTTATGACTTATTTGTCGTGTGATCAACCTTTTGGGCTAGTTGTAGATGTGTTTGAAAGCTATTCGTAACATTTAATAATATTTTGGCAAATTTAACCAAATGAATGAAATGACTCGAAAAAAGATTCGTTCATCTCGATAAATGAGACTCAAAGATCCGAGTCAGTAAAATGATCCGAACTTCCCATCACTACACTCTACGCGGACATCTAAGCTCCAGGTTTTGAGCAAAAACCCCCAGAGAGCAGTGCATGTCATTTATCAAGGATGTACCACTGGATCGCGTCTCACTATAGTTGTTAAACGTGACATTTAATTAATCTTGTCTCTATCTAACGACTCTTCTGTCTTTTGAATCCATCAATCTTTCGCTTTCAAACTTGTACTTAGTAACTAACCCAACCCTAGTAATCACAATGCCGTGAAACCATGATGTTTTTATCCAAGGTTATCATACCATCAGAATCTTATACCGGCTCATGCCTAGTTTTGGGACAACATGAAGGAATTAAGTGGACTTGATCATTTCTACAATTTAAGTGGATTGAACATAAAACAATTAAGTTGGCCCCCAAAAAAGATCAAGAGTTGTTTCGTTACAGCTCAATTTAAATAGCTTGAACGGACAGCAAATGTCATTTTTTGAGTGTACAATGTTTAGGCGAATGCTTTTTCATAGATCATATGAGCATAATATTACACATCATTACAAAAATGCAGATAGAAACATGAATAATAACGTCATGCAAAAGTGATGTACAACGTTTACTTTTGCTTTTTATTTGGAGATATTGTATGTTGAGACTGTTGTTTTCTTTATTTTATTAATATTTATATGCATTTCTACATGCTGAATCAAAGATTTGACCTGAAGATCTAAAGTGAAAAATATCATGAGTCTTTGTAAAAGAAAATAAACCTTTCCGTGTGGTCAATATAGGTAGCCTAATTGGTCGAATTTACAGAAAAAGTACTATATTATTTTATATATCACTGTCAGGATATGAGATTTTTCTTGTCATGTTCCCCTGCCCTACTCGCATGATGAAACAAGGAATTCAAATGAAATACATTTCCATATAACAATATCTCAGAGCATCAGAATGCCAGGGGAGTCACTAAATCTTCATGATTTTATATAAATCTCGATTTGAGAACATAATCCTTAGGAAAAAGTCGTCTGGCACAGCAATGAACACCATCATAGCTGAGGACTCCCAGAGGGGCAATGCCTCTACTGACTCGGATTCAAGCATCAGCCCATGCAGAAACAATACAGGTTTAAACCAGATTGTGAGCAGGGCTGAATGCTGAAGCATGGCTGGGCTTTATGCAAGACACTTCTGTCGTATATTTGATCTTGGGGCATCTTGAGAGAGAGAGAGAGAGCACATAAAAATGTGATGCATAGGTTCAATTTCATATTACAGATATATGTTTCAATGAATGGCTGATTTTAATGTGCAAAGTCAGGAGCTTCTGGTCAAACTTCAGAGGCACGAGGTGCAGCAACTTTAACTCATATCTCAACATAACCAAAGCCTCATGACAATCGAGAAAATCAGTCAAGCGTGGGGAGTTTGATGCACGCGTCAGCAAAAATGACATCGACCGGTAGAAATGCACAGAATATTTTTGGAAATTCGAAATGTTGCGTAAAACCTTCTGATAGAATCGGTTCGAAGGATTTCAACGGAAGTCAGAACATTCGAATCCTCGAATAAATCACTGGAATGTACAAAGCCTTCATGACGTAACACAAACAAGCAAAAGTTACAATATAACCATTCGTTTAATCTCAAAACTGCATAACAAACACAACATTCCAGCACATTAAAGCTCTAAAAATAAACTAAAGATTAAACAATAATATCTGCAGCCCTGCTACCTTGTAAAAAAATGTGAGTAAAACTGAGGAACCGTGAAGTTCAGTAAAGTTTTTTTTACCTCCCGAAAGCCGCGAGCTCGTGGAAAGCGTCCTGAAAACGTTTGGTTTTAGCGAATTTTGGCAGGTCCAAATATGTGGAGGTCTCGCGAGCAGGGGCAATGCTGCTGAAAAGTTTGCCGAAACGCATCGGAGCGCTGCACACATCGCCATCTTCACCGACTCCGGGCTTCAGTCATGAAATAACAGCCTGATGCACTTGACCGAACGGGAGGTGCGCGCGCCCGAGTGGCAGAAGCGCGCTCCCGTTAACTAACAGCTCACTGTGCTGATAAGTTGATAAAGGGTAGAGATATCGATAACGACAAGAACATTGGCACAGACTGAATGACCCATTATATACAAAGTCCAACCATGATGAAAGCAAAAGGACGCAGTGAGTAAATATATCCCTCGATTCCCAGATCAAACGTGCATTTATAACCACTTTATAGGTCTTAAATACAGAACAATGTTTATTAGTTGCCATATATGTCACCTAATATGACACAAACTAACAATTCCAGCCATTTTGAGGACATTTCAAATCCTAATTTAACTTTTTTAGACACATTAACAATGTTTTACCATCAAAACTGTCATAGTACTTCAAACTTTGAGGATGTTTCTAAAAAGTAACCCTCAGGAAAAAAAATAATATAGTAATGCATGGTGTTTGTGAACCAAGACAACACAGTGAGTAAATATATCCCTCGATTCCCAGATTAAACGTGCATTTATAACCAATTCATAGGTCTTAAATACTGAACAATGTTTATTAGTGGTCATATAAGTCAACTAATACCACACAAACTAACAATTCCTGGCCTTTTGAGGACATTTAAAGTGTTAAGTTGACTATTTTAGACATTAATCGTCATTAACAATCACAATATAAACAGTTTATATTAACACATTATAACACATTAATTAGACACATTAACAATGTTTTACCATCAAAACTGTCACAGTACTTCAAACTTTGAGAATATTTCTATAAAGTAACCCTCATGAAAAAAATACTATATTAATGTATGGTGTTTGTGAACCATGCTATAATATTTATGTGTATATACAGTGCATCCGGAAATTATGCATAGTGCTTCCCTTTTTTATGTTACAACCTTTTTCCAAAATGGATTTAATTATTTCCTCAAAATTCTACACACAACACCCCATAATGACAAAGTGAATAAAGAGGTTTTGAAATTGTTGCACATTTTTTAAAAATAAAAATGTGGAAAGACTGAAGCACGATAAATACTATCTGGAATCACTGTATTATATATATATATATATATATATATATAATGTTTGTTTGTATATACACACACACACACACATATATATATATATATATATATATATATATATATTTACAACTCGTTATTGAACACTCAGCATACTATTGTTACTATAGTAAACTTATGAACTGTAATAAATACTGTAGCAAAGGTTAGTTTTTACTGCAGTCAACTATAGTGCATTGTAGTAGTATACTTGGCCTATACTTGCCTATAATTGCAACAGACTAATTCAAGTACTTTACTAAAGTATGGTCACAAAACACAATCGTTTTCATAATAAATTACTACAATATTTTTTCAAATAAATTAGATTTTCGTAAAATCTATGCTTGTTGGAGAGCAATGCTCATAAAAGTATTTTTAAAATCAGATCCATAGTTATTAAATAGCTCTAAAACCATTATGCATAAATTTTAAGAATGTATCTACTATATGAAGGATAATTCAAAACTTCTTGTAATTAATAATCTGACAGGAGCATTAGTTGTTTTCTAAATGTAATTATATGTTATTACTGGGAGCAATGTACTATATTAGTAATACAGCTTTACATCAAATCTACATTACTCAGGGTTTCTGCAGGTTTCAAGTCAAATTTAAGACTTTTTAAGATCGTTATAAATTAATTTTCAGACCTATACAAGATTAAATGCGAAGACTTTTTTTCTAATGGCCCAGTTAAAATATATGTTATAGTAAGGAAAATAAACCACATTGGTAATAAATTGTTAATATACATTTTTGGTAAAGGTGGAATGTGATTGGATGCATGTTGGCCCTATTTGGTAGCTTTACATGGACATACAGTGTAGGTAAATGAAGCCCTGTTTAAAATTATTTAAGACTTACAACACAATATCTTAGTGATTTTACGACTTTTTAAGGCCTAAAATGTTTTTGAAATGTGAGACTTTTTAAGACTCTGCAGATACTATAATTTTTCATTAAAAAAATAAAATAAAATAAAACTTACTTTTTAATTAATTTTACAAAACAGTTTAAGGTTTGAATAAGGCCTTTAAAAAAAAAAAACTGGAATATGGAAACAACTTTGTTTTAATTTTCATTGTGTCTAAATGTCATTAAATCAAGATACGTTTACCTGGGAAACAAAATTGCACAAAATCTTTCCAAAAAATCCATCAAAATTATGAAAGGGGTTGAATAAAAATGAGAACAAATATCTGCCAACGGCTCAGAATAAATAGAACTCAATTGCAATGGAAATGTAATTTTTATACCACTTTGACATATTTGTTTTTGTTTTAAAGGACAAAACATTACCTTGTAATTTTGCTGTTTCCCGGAAAACAAGACTTGCATTTCAAGTAAATCTTGAATTACGGTTTAGATAATTGTAATGGAGAACAAAAGTACTGGCACAAAAAAACATACCGGCAGTGCATTATAGAAACACTGTATGACCTTAAATTTTAAAAACCTGGAAAGCAGAACCAAAACACATCATCTGGTTTGTTGAAGTCATTATTTAATGTGGTTCAACCGAACAGCCACTGTAAGCTTGTTAAAAACACAGTTGGACAAGATCATAAAACATCCAAACATGTCTGAGAAACACTTTGTTTATTCACCTCAGGCCACAAAAACTGCAGGAAGTTGACAGAAACGGGACAGCAGGGTTTCCAATCCCTATAAAACTGTGAGGCGTACATTAAAAGAACTGCTGAAATCCTCCCCTTCAGAATGGACAGTGCATAGGTCATGATTAATCAAGCTATTACCCTCAACAGTGACGATAACTTTAGACAGTTCAGGCTGAATCCAGGAATCCGGAAGCGATGGACGAAATGCTCAGGTGTGTGTTAGCGTTAGACTGATGTGCCCTCTGCAGGTGCAGCTGGTTTATTGTCTTCTGGCTTCATGGCAGGGAAAAGCAGCACCTCCTGAGGTAGAAAACAGCCATTGTAAATTCAAATGTTACAAATGCAAGCTTACACGAAGCAAAGCTCTCTTTGTGGTGCTAGAAAAAGAGATTATAATGCATATAAATGTGATATCCAAGTCTAACAATAGAAAAGCAGTTAAAGCAAATACAGGGTTCCTACAGTTTTTCCAACCTCAAATTCCAGCACTTTTCAAGCACTTTCAAGGTGCATTTGGCTGCTTTTCCAGCACCTAACAACCACGGTTAATTATGTTTATATATGTATATCCATGTACTTTTTCACATTTAAATCCATTGTGGTATTTAAAAAAAACACAATATGACATTTCAACTTAAATTGTTGAATACTTTAGGGCAGGGGTGGCCAACCCTGTTCCTGGAGAGCCACCTTCCTGCAGATTTCAGTTGCTACCCATATCAAACACACCTGCCTGTAATTATCACGTGGTGTTCAGGTCCTAATTAATTGGTTCAGGTGTGTTTGATATGGGTAGCAACTGAAATCTGCAGGAAGGTGGCTCTCCAGGAACAGGGTTGGCCACCCCTGCTTTAGAGCATAGATTTATTGAGAAAAAAAAAAGTTCAGTTATTGGATGAAGTATCTTTTTAAGTTTGGTCTCTTTTAACCTAAAATTGATATCTCAAGAAATGAGCTTGCAGTCAGATTTTGTTTGGGTGTAGTACCAAACTTTCATGACCAGTCATTCATGATATTTTATGCATTGCTATATATATATATATTAGATTGGATTGACGTTTCCGGTGCAAAGATGCATTCTGGGTGAATGTCTCCTAAATACGTATGAAGCTAATAGTATGCCAAAACAATCTGAATTTGAATTGTGTTAATTTGAATTCTTAAAAGATGAAGACTGTATTTTTACATACCCAATATCTACAGTCTTTAAACTCAGAACCAAAAAAAAATCTGAAGTTTGAAAATAGGTCCATAGAAATCTGACTTAAAAAATTAAATTGTCTTAAATTTCAGATGTTTAATAATCAAGTTCTGAAATACAAATTCAAAACATTTTTAATAGCATATAATCAGTTTTATTAACTTACATTAGTTAATAGTTCAATTTAACACAATTTTTAACACATTTAACACAACAGATTGTTTCGGCATATTATTAGTTCCATAAATATGCGCGTGTGGTCAACATTTTGCAATGAAAACTGGTCGCGCGACAATAATTTATGTACTCACACATATGCAAAGAGTATTTTAGGTCACATAGATAAAATTGTGCGCATATGCAACCAAAACAGTCACAATTTCGAGCCCTGTAACTTTAAATTCAAGCAGATTCAAGCACTTTGTCTAAAATCCAAGCACTTTTTTTAACATGGAAAACACTATATTAAAAATCAAGCATTTTCCGGGATTTCCAGCACCTGTAAGAACCCTGCAATTAATACATGCTCCTCATTTAGCAGTTTTAAATAAAATACACAAATACACAGTTAAAGCATACCTGCCAACACTCCTGTTTTGTCATTTCTCCAGGAAAACTCCTGTAATTTCAACCCCCCTCCCTCCTTCAATATTTTGGTATGGTCGGCGAAATCCCCGGGTCGTCAACATTGAAGCGGCCGCCCAAGACATGCTTTATTGTACAGTTACCAACACCACAGTACACAGTACCCGGTTCTCAACAGTCAAAAGAGTTATTCAGATACCTCACCCCCGAACCTAACCTCCCCATTTTCCCGGATTTTCAGGGACAAATGTTGGCAGGTATGAGTTGAAGTAAGAATTATCATTCATCGTCCTAATAATGAAAAGAGGCTATGGTTGTTCATACCTTGATGTTGTTGGAGTCTGTGAGGAACATGGTGAGGCGGTCGATGCCCATTCCCCATCCTGCTGTGGGGGGAAGACCGTACTCTAAAGCGGTGCAGAAGGTCTCATCAATGAACATGGCCTCGTCGTCACCTTCTGCCTTAGCCTGTGGACAAAGTAAAACCATCAAGGCAAGCTCTCACAACACAACAGCTCATCTTAATCACATTAGAGATTACAAA